AAAGGAAGAAGGTTACATGAAATCCACTGGTGGTAGATTAAGGGTGTGTGTGTGTGTGTGTGTGTGTGTGTGTGTGTGTGTGTGCGCCCGCGCGCGCGCGCCCGCAAGAAAGTAAAATGGGGGAAATCTTTGGGATTGGATAAAAAGTAAATTGGATGGACAGATAACTTCTTTTACATTGGTGGGTACAGGATAGTTAATAGTTAGCATTTTACAACACATAGAGATGGTAATCAAGGGACTACAACAATGGGGGATTCTGTAGTTTCCTGCTCTGGTGTGGGGTTGTGCCCTGAGGGGTCCGGAAAAAGGGATTACTTCGACATTATTCCAAGGGTATGTTGTTTTAGATACAAAAAAGCCAGTAGACAGTCTCACTTAAGGTAAAGACTGACCTTTGTCAAGGAAGCTACAGGCCCAGCATGTGACTACCAGCCACTAGGGCTTTTAGTTAGAAAATTTTATGTTCAGACCATCCTACGTGGTTAATTTCGGTCTCTGAGTTTGTAGGGCCTGCCAAGAAGGCTTCTCCTGAGTTTGTCAGGTTTAGTATCTGGCCCCCTTTTTTTGTCCACAAGTGGAAAGATTTTCTTGATGAATTTGTGATGGTAGCAAACCCTCCACCCCCAGCACTTCCCTAAAGTAGAATCTTGGCATCATCCTGAATTTCTTCAGACTATGCATCTATCAGTTACTGATTCCTACTTTTTAAAATATATACTAAACATGTCTGGAATTGATCCCCTCCTCTGCATCTCTCCTACAACTGCCCTGGTGCAAGCCTTTGACATTTCTAGAACCAACTCTTCCCCTCCACATCCTCTGTGTTCCCTTGTGCTATTCTTCTATATAGCATTTATCTAGCATATTATATAATTTAATTTAAAAAACATTTTTGTTGTGTTTCTTGTTCCCTGCTGTATTCCCAGGACCTAGCACAAAAGCTGTTACATAGCACAGTAGTTGTTTAAAAGAACATATGGAAAATTTTCGCGTGGTCTTTAAGATAGTTCACCTCCTCCAGAAAGCCTCCCTTTGACCACTCTCCACTCTCAGGGGCAATGAGATGCCACTTCTGTCCTCTGTGTTCTCACAGAACCCTCGCACTGTGGTGTGTGATTGTGTCTTCCTTCCTATGAGCAATCTGAAAAAAGGGCCGTGCCTTCTTCATTTGGTTATGCACAGCGTACAGCTCAGTGCTTGGCACAAACCGGTTCAGCGTTGCTGCATCACTATTTGATCTGTCACCTCCAGATAGTGATTCCTTCAAGTTGGTGCTTTTGTGCAGACATCTTACAGTGGCTCTCCGGCCAAGAGATGGTGTCTAGGCCTTTCTGCCTATCTTCCAAGGAGGTTTAGGCCCTGCCAACTGCCTACAGATCCTACTTCTTGCCTCCTTCTCCATCAGTTTTACTTCTATCCTCACCAGCCTGGCTTCTGTGCTCCACAAATGGCCCTGTTGTTCCACAGGGTCTGGAGACTCCACCAGGAATGAACACTCTTCTACTGCTCCCCTGTTCACAGGGTCCCATCCTTCAGCCCCCTCTTGCAAGAAACCAGATGGTGCCAGGCCAGACATCTGTGCTAACTCCTAACCCTGACTGCAGCTTGTGGAGATGAATGAAGATAACTATACATAAAGGGCCTGGTACAGGAACTGCCCATAGAAGATGCAACCCCCTCTCCATTTTTTTAAATTAAAAAATATATTTAAAAAAATATATACAGATATTGATTCTGAGCCCCCAAACTAAAAGAAATATAATGAAGAACTAAACCAAACAAACTGACTCAGGTTCTAGGGGACATCCTGGAGTAGGGCCTGAGAGGTGGGGCGGTAGCCCCACGGAGTTTGGAGTGGTCACCAGGCTAGCCCACTAGCATCAGCGGGGTATAGCCTCAGCTGGGCGTAGCATCAGCTGGGCAAAGGAAGGTATAGACTTCCTCAGGGTTTCCGCCATGATCACAGGGTGAGCTTTTGGAGCAGGAGTCTCAGGGGACTGGCGGTTCCTCTCAGCAGGAATTCTAGATGCTCTGAGTGTGGAACTGTAACCTGGTATCCTCAGTATAAAAAACAATTGCTAAATTCTTTAGGTAATATGGATTCAAAGACAAAACAGAAAAACCACCTCCTTTGAAAGCCGAGCTTAGGCACCGCTGGGATTCGAACCCAGGATCTCCTGTTTACTAGACAGGCGCTTTAACCAACTAAGCCACGGCGCCAAAGATACCTAAATGCTCTCTGCTGCTGTACTACAGAAATACACCGGTTGGAACCTGACCACATCAATTTTTTCTATTGTAAAATTAATTTTGACAAACCAATTAGGTTTGGTATCAAATATCCATCCGTGGGATGCCCTCAATGTTGAAAGAAGTAAATCAAAGATCTCAACCCTAGCCAAAAGTGCATTATAGGGGAGCATCCCAGAGGCTAGGATTTTGAGACGAGGGGATTTCCGGGGCACTGATCGAATAAATGTTGTTTCACCTGGGGCAAGGAAGAATGGGGATAGTCCGTTGGAGAAGAAAAAGACAAACGTAGTCGGCAGGATTCGAACCTGCGCGGGGAGACCCCAATGGATTTCTAGTCCATCGCCTTAACCACTCGGCCACGACTACACAGACAGACAAAGCCTGCTCATCTGAAACCCTCCTAGTACATGTGTTCCGCAAATACCACCCCTTTCACTATCTTATGGTTCCAAGGCTAGGAGATTGGCGGGCGCGAACACAGAGCAGGATAGAACTGGAATGGAGCTTTTGCTCGCGGCCCCACCCCACATTCGGCGTTTCTGAAGTCCTCCTTCCGGATCTTCCCCTTTTTCCCACGAGCCTCCAACAATGTGCTCCCAGAAAGAGACGCGGTAGCCGCTGGGGAACGCTTCCTTCGCCCTAGCACAGATAAACCTCTTTCAAAGCTTGAAGTGCGCTAGCAATTCAGGTTTTGAAAAGCAGTGGGTACTGTGTCGTTTATGATCAGAAGGCAGCTGGCTTCGGGTAGAATTTTACTGGTAATGGCAGATATAGGAAGGGGAGGGGGGAAAAAACAAAACAAAACAAACTGCATTACTGGCCCGTACGGGGATCGAACCCGCGACCTTGGCGTTATTAGCACCACGCTCTAACCAACTGAGCTAACCGGCCAGCTATGGTCTGGGGCGCTGAAATCTACATATCTATATTACTAAAGTATATAAGCCAGACTACATCATATCCTGAGAAATCTTGTACGGACCTAGCCACGACCCAAAGTTCTCCCAAACATAAACTGGAAGCAATCTAAACAATCTCTAAAGGTCCAGGAAGGAATATCCTCTGAACAACTCTAAAAGGTGTGGCTAGGCTCTATGTCGTCATTGATCAGTAGCTCCCCAAAGAAATGGAACGTCAACCAAATGCATAAGCATCCCCAAATAATTTATCCTGCAACCCCTAAATCGGTGGATTCTGACTTAGGAATTCCTATTGATCTCATGGTGTAAATTAAGGCTCTGTCTTAGGCCTGGCCCATGGGAAACCCACAGCATTGACCACTTGACTGGGGTTCCATAGTATAGGTTCCTCACATGCCTCTCCTAATCCTTGGTGGTCCCCCCATTCTCACCCTCTTATATCCATCTTGTACTTCCCAGTAACTCTAGGCTCACGTAATTGACATCTTCCTCAGCCCAACCTTGCTGAGAGCATCATAGCAATGTTGTCTACTTTGCCCCCAATTCCGACTTACTCCTATTAGGGTCTGACTTTTGGTATCATTTCTTCTGCTGGACCAGCTCTTCAAACCAGTTTTGGCACTGGTGGAAAACATGGGCAGAAATGATGATAAATGATGGGCCTGCTGTCAGGTTGGGAGGTCTGAGATGCCAGATGAGCACAAGTGCAAAACATCACCAGAGCTTTACTGCAAGTCAAGGGGACTGTCAGGAGTCCCACCAAAAGTGTTAGACAGGACAAGGGTCTCAAGGTCTGGGCAGTTCTTAATAAATAAATGCTATTCTTGCTAAATGTTAAAATGTAACAGTATTTTGCAGATGCAGCTGTAAATAGGATAAGCTTGACAGGAACTCAAGAGGATAAGTGTAGCCAACCGCAAAGAAGAAATCAACATGTAATCAACCAAATAGTGTATGTAAGCAAGAGCTTTGGATGTGAATCCCATCTCCTCTGCTTGCTGCAAGTAAATGAAACTACCATGTCTTTCTTTTTTTGTCAGCATGAGTACTTTTATATAACTGAGAGAAAATAAGCCACAAATTTTGAAGATGAATCTGAGAAGATAGTAGTAAACTTTAAAGAGGTTTCTATAACCATATGACTATTGACATTCACATTAAAACACTCATAATTGAAGTCTTTTTTTATTTTATATATAAAGAGCTGACATTGTTTCTGCAGTAAGGTAGACAGCTTGCATAACTCATTCATGGAAGTTCACTTAATCCCGCTTAATGAAGCCTATATCCTTCATGTACTGACGGAAACACTGGCGACACATATTGAGGCTGTATTTCTGGATCAGACCATGCTGGTTTGAGCAGACGTGACAAGAATGAAAACTCTGGCAGAATTTTCTTGGATGGCTCCAGTAGAGCTGTTGGTGACCCATCTTGCTCTCTCAGATGCAACGAGGTAAAAGGCCCATGTCTTTCTTGAATAGAAAATCCAAGCGGCAAACCCCGAATTCAGTAACACAAGGGGCAAGTCTTTTGTTCCTCTGGTCCCTTCCACAAAGGCAGAACCCAGCTGCTCAGGGCCATTTGTGAGTGCAGGTGCCCTGACACCAACCAGAGAGGAACTATCAAGAGCGCCACGGTTTGCCTATTTCCACAATTTCCCCAAGGCAGGTTGGCACCAGAATATGAAAGCGAAATTACAGTGGGGTATAGTTTGTGAATACAGGGATCCAGGGTCCTGGTTCAATCAGAGGAGGTAAGGTCCACAACAAGGGGGAGAGGTTGGGACCCAGGCCTCCAGACTTCCAGCAGGGCAGGAAGAAGTTTCAGGCCATTGTTGCAGTTCAGGTTAGCAGGAGGAAGTAAATGCCCCCAGAGAGCTGGTGTGCTCAGGCTCCTGGATAGAGAGGCATGACAGTTGGATCCTGGAATTCACGTGAGTCAGGAGAGGGAGCTCCCCACATTGGAATTGCTTTAGCCGAGGAGGTTCTGAGATAGGAAGAGAGGAAAACACGTGTGCTATGCATGTGGTTTTTAGTCTCCATCCACCATTCTCCTCCCCAACTCCAGAAATACCCTATCAATCCCTCATCCCTCTTCCTCCCTGGCCCCATCTATCTACATCCTCACCCTTCCATCCTTACCTAAAGGGATGATCTTGGAGGGTTTCTTCTCAAGCTCAAAAGAAAGCACAATAGGGCGGAGCACAGAGAGGCTGGTACAAAGTGTCCGGAGGAAGCGGGTCAAGGGCTCATCAGTCTTGGCTGAGGACTATCGAGCGAAACTCAGGATTAAGCAAAACTCAAATTCCTAAACCCTCTACCAAACCCTCAGGAACCTGGGTATCTGAGTCCCACCTCCCAGCCATATCTCACCTCAGGTTGAGCTCCAGACCCTGTAAATTGCAAGGCCACTTTACCTGGCCCTCTGACAAACTCTAGGAGGGAGGTCCACTCACTAGGACACAGGCCTAGTGCTGCTGGCACATGATGATTCCTACAGGTCACCAAAGCTTCAGCAGTCCCATCCTCTACCAGGAACCTGGGGTGGGGGTGGGGGTGGGGGTGAGAAACAGAAACTCCCATAGCAAACCCAGGTGACCAGTCACCTGAATCCAACATGTCTTCATCTCCTCTCTTTCATCTTTAACGCGTTTACCCTCATCATCCATTCAAAATTATTCATCAAGCAATTCCCACAAGCCAAGAATTATGCTAACACAGGGAGAGCACACAGGCGAAGCTGTATAATAGGGAAGTAAATAGTGCGATGGGTGCCCACCTTCTGCTCTTACCTGATGTTGGCCTGGCTTACAGATGTTTGAGTGGGGCAAGTGGAGCCCTGAAGAGTACACCTTCCCTGGGATGAAGAAAATGGTTGGAAACATCCTCTTGGTACCATCACATCACCTCTGGCACCTGGCACCCAGCATAGCCCCTTCCCTCACAAACCTGGGGGCAGAGGCTGGTACAGTGAGCACACACCCAGAGGAGCTGAAGACTGAAGACGGAAACAATATGGCAAGACGCAGTGGCCCGGAACGGGGCCTGGCCACCTTGTAGCAGTCTAGCCAGGTAGATGTGGGGCAGGGGAGCCCTGAAGAGAGGGAGAGAGAGAGAAAGTGAGAGGGAGAAATGCGTGTCAAAAAATAGCCAAAGGGGTTCTGAAGGCAGGGTGTGTTTGGAAGGGCTCAGCAGGCATAGGGATGGGAATAATAGGGGCTTCCATGTTCTCCTGGAAGCTCCTCTGTCCCCATTTTGATTCCTGATCTCCAATTGTCATCAATTATTTTTCAGGATTGAACAACCAAGATGTTAGCCAAAAAAAGATATCTGCATTGTAGATTGAAAAGCCCTTAAGAGCCCAGGACAATAAATCTTGCTGGATAAAATGACAGGTATTGAGCATTTTTATTTGGGGCAGAGGAAATTGTTCTGACTCAACACATTCTGCTAGGATTGGAGAAGACCGTACGTAAGGCAAAAATTGCAGGGCCAGGAATATGCGTGGGATGCAGATGTGAGGCTGTGAAATTTGGGGATCTATGGCCTGGGGCACTGACCTGATTGTGGTCTCTGGGGGAAAACTCAGGACATGCACATAAGTAGATGACCGGAAACAACAGTAAACATTGTGGGATCTGCAAGTGGAAGAGGAGGAGAAAGAAGTCAATTTGAGGCTGGAACTGGGACTATATCACAGGCTTGGCCACTCCCGAGGGATGCGCCCTAAATACACCAGGCTCTACCAAAGCAGAGGGAAGAAAGAGAAGGACTAGTCTGGAACATCTCATGAGGGTAGAGGACATAAATTCCAGAGTAACATATTGAACAAAGTATCAAAAAGAAGGTATGATGGTAGCATATGGTTAGACAGGGGTGACCATTCAAGAGAACCACATCATTAGGGACAGGAGGGAGGGCCAGCTACATAGATCTTCACCTGGAAACTCTTTTCTCCAGCTGGTTAAAGTAGACTCGGGCTCCTGGAAGGAGTCCTAGAGGCGGAGGCAAGTGTGGGCCTTCAATATATATGTCCAAGTGAGGGGGGAATTCACAGTCAGCAGTCTCCAGAGCTACGGTTAGCTTCACACACCTTCTCCTGGCCCCAATGCTTCCTACAGAAGGAAAGGGCAGGGGTCAGTGGTATCCATCTGGACCACAAGGTCCCACGACTCTATTTCATACCTTCCCTCAAAGGAGGTGTCATTACCAGGTTTTGTCCAGATAAGGGCCGCAAATGGCTCACACAGTGTCCGTGACAGAATCTCAGCTGAGAAAGACACCAAGGAATCGGTGAAGCTGAAGGGTCAGAGAAATACAATGAGAATGGAGGCATAAGAAAACAGAGAACGGAGAGTCAGGTCCAAGGACAGAAAGAGGAGCTAAAGTATCATTAGACCATCATCTAGAAGGTCCTGAAAAATATCATGCTGTGTCAAATTGCACACTAAAAGTTATAGGACTTAGGAAAAATAGGGTTGTGGCAGATCACTCAAAACCTATATGTTGTAACCAGAGGCCTTAGCAAGAAGCACAACAGCAGAGTTAAATCTCCACTTGCATTTAGACCTAGAATCTCAGACAGTCCACCATTTGTGGCTTTATATGCGGGGGTTCATGCCCCCTCCTTCCAATCATAGATCCTTGAAAACATTCATTTCTAGTATAGACCAGTTTCGTAAAAATTACACATACAATCCAGTAGGGTTTGTTTGTTTAACACAGAGGGAAAGATCTCTGTAGCTTCTTCATTTGCATGTGCAGCTACCCCCAAAAAGCTTACATGAGGAAAGTATAGTTGTTCCTGAAGCCATAAGCCAGCCACTTCTTGTATTAAAGGAAGGCCCTACCCTATAGATATTTAGCTTTTGTCCTTACATTTTTTTCTTTTATGTTTCTTATATTTTCTTTTATTGCTAAGGCTTTACCTGAATTGTGAGAAAGCCTTCTCATGATCATTTCAAAACAGTAACATGCTGGGGGCAAAAATCAGGTATGAAACACAATTTCCATCTTATACTGACATCTTTCCTCTAGGAGCTAAATCACATTAAAGAAACACGCTGTAGCAGAGAAAGGACGATTTGCAAACCCAACTATGGCAGCGGAAGAGCTGGAGAAGCTGGAGGACATTTACTTGCTACTGAGCAGGTCGGTTAGCGAGGATTCAGGCAGTGCCTTGCTGATACCCAGCACATCTGGGATGTCCTGGGAGCTCTCAAGTTCCAGGGTCCACTCATCCTGGACAGTGAGGCAGGATGTACAGCCAGCCAACTCCAGAGGATGCTGCGACACGCAGGATGAACCATCCTCCTCAAATAACATTGGTGTCTGCCAGGAAATGGGAAGATGATGGTCTCTCAGTGTATCTTGGTCCAGAGGGAGGTTCACAAAATACTATCACCCAATTTTGTTTTCTCTCTGGAGGCTGGTGAAGGAAGTGATCCAGACATAGAGAGGCCTTCTATTTGATCTAGAGCCACCCTTCTGCTAGGAGACCTGGAGTGACCAGGCACTGGCACTTCCTCTCCAGACCCCAAGCCAAAGAAAAGCTCTCTAGGGAAGGACGTGATGAAGTAGGGCACTCACAGGAGGGCCTGGAGCCACAAGTCGGTACACGTGCCCGGGGTGCAAGAACTCGAACCAGCGGACTGAGGAGCCAAGAAAGATGAGGAGAACCTGTGAGGAAGGAGAGAAGGGTGCTGGGGTTCCAGACAGGAGCTAGGGGGACAGGTCAAGCCCGAGGACCCTACAGTCCCAGCTTACCTTGTGATCCTTGTGCTCATCTCTCTTGAACTCGGGTGCGCTCCATCCAGTTCCCTCCTTCCTCTGGGTGTTCCCAAGCCAGGTTCCTGATACGTGGAAACTGAGAGTGGGCTTGGGACCCTGTGGACTGGCTCCTGGAGGGACACACAAGTTCCTCTTCATCAGTGCCTCCTTGTGGGACAGCAAGAACAGCCGGCTCTGTCCTATGTGGGGACCCTCAGAGAGGGTGGGCTCCGTCTGCCGAGGTGTTGAGGTGGCTGAGTGAAGGGACGGTCTGGGCACAGGCAGGATCAGGGCATCGGCCAGAAACAACTGGACATAGACTCTGTTGGGAGAGACAAGGAATAGGTTTCTTAGTGATGTAGGCATTGGGTGTTGTGAGTCCCAGCATTCCAACACCTGCACCAGGCCCTTCCCCTTCCCCTCCAAGACTCAGGAGTACAGCCACTACCCCAAGGCCAACCTGGCCTGCTTCTTCTGGATGAAGCCTGTCATGCTCAGCTCCTTCCAGGAAGGAAAGTTGCTTCTGATATTCCTCTCTATGACCAACTGAAACCTCTCTGCCCGTACCAAGCAACCTAGAGGAAGGAAATTTTCTATTTTGGCAAAAGGAAAGAATTGTAGAACAGGAAGTGAAGCAGACCACTCTGCAAGTCTTGCTGCCCAACCCAAGCCTGACCTGATCTCCACCTTAGAGGGATGACACCTCAAGGGAGAAACCATTCCATCCCCATGTCCAATCCCACCCCTAACCTTCTAAGCTAAAAGGCCTCGATTCTATTTTCTCACAAATCTCTAAAACACCTGTTCCTAGATCTAAGGAAACTTTGCTTTCTATGATTTCTACAAATCTCAGTAAGTCCAAACAAGACTGGAGGGACACAAAAGTTCATCAGTGCCTCCTTGTGGGACAGCAAGAATAGCCAGCTCTGTCCTAGGTGGGAGCCCTCGGCTTTTTCAAACTAATAATGTAGAAAATGGGAGCTGTCATCCTGGTGTGCATATTAGGCTCTCTGGAGGGAGAAATGAATGCTGGGAATTGGAGTTCTGGCCAGGGGACCCCTTGCCCCTTTTCTCTACCTGCCCAATACCAGCCTCCTAAACTTCTCCCAAAACTTGATGAACACGTATCACTTCAGCATCTCCAGAAAATCCCAGTAGGTGCTTTTCCCAAACCCCCCCATTCCGAGACCTTCTATTCCTCCACCACCTTCTCTCCACCTCTGAACTCCAAACCTATGAGCCGGGAGTCAGTGAGGGGCTCCGAGTGCTTGTTCATGAGGAGGCAGGGGAGGGAATCACTTTTGTCCCGAAGTTGCAGACAACCTGTACGAGATGAAGCCACCAGAATCCCAAGCAAAACCTGCAGGGAGATGAAAGCCAAGGTATCAAGTATTTATTAAGCAAATATTGAGCATCTACTATGTGCCTGGCATATGTTAAATGTTAGCTACAAAGTGAACAAAAAGACATGGTCTCTAATCTCAAAGAACTTATATCCAAGTGGGGAAGACAGGTGTGAAAAAAACACACATTCACACATTTGGTAGCAGGAGAGAAAGGTTCAAATTGAGGTTAGAGCTAGGAGAACAAGCAGGACTTCGTCGGACATAGAAGGTTGGGTTTTATTTTATATACACTGGGAGAAACAAGAAAAGGATTTAAAGCAAGAGAGGTTCGTAATCCAAGTCACATTTTACTTCACTCTTTCCAGTTGCTGTAGGGAGGGGACCAAGAAGAGATGGAGCAGTCTAGTTAGAAGGCCAGTCAGTCAAAATGACAAAAAATGACTATGGTAGTGGTACTGAGGGTGGCAAAAAGAGGAAGTACCCTGAACCCTGCTGGAGCTCCACTTACCTGGGCTGGATGGAAAGTGGAGGGCAGCAGACAGAGCCAGGACCAGGTCAGACGCTGATTGAGTTGGTAACTGGTCAGGTGAGAAGCCTCTGCGAGGGGCAGAAGGGTCTTAGAGTCAAAGGAGTCCCAGGCCCTGCTCCGCCCTTCCTCTTTCAGAGTGGCCAGAGTGGGGAAGGAACAGGGAGTCTGCAGCCGAGTGTACTGTCAGGGAGAAAAGAAAAATCAGACTGTGTATCCCGTGTGTCCCCCTGTACATTAGCTCTGTAACCCTCTTATTCCCACATCCTTATACCTTCTGGAGTGGACAGAGATGCGGCTTTTCGAGGATCTCCTTGTGTACATTCCGACTGGGGATGCAGGGTGGAGCTAGGACATCCAGGATAGGAGCCAGGACTTGTAGTCCCAGGCTGGGGTGCCCAGGAGAGGAGTGCTGCAGCAACTGGTGGTGTCTCAGCACATGAGGACAGAGCCTTGGCCAGAGAAAGACGCTGAGTCACTTCTCCCAAAGACCCTGCCTCTTCTAGCATCCTGCTTCCCTTACTTCCACTGCCGCCCCAGCCCAGACCCTCATCCTCCTCACTTGCTGGCCAGCTCCTCCAGGGCCTTGGTAGCCCACAGGTAGAGGGGAAGTCCTAATTGGCGTTCCCATACCAGGTGCTCATACAGGGAAGACTGGGCTTGGGAGGAAGACTGAGTCTCGGGCTTCCGGGGAGAAAAGCTCCGAAGCAAAATGGCACCACGGAGACAAGGGGCTAGCACTGGCCTTCGGGCCCACCCACCCACCGACTGGAGGAGGTGAACATCCTGGATCTGGGGGAAAGCAGAAAAGGTGAAAAAGCAGAGGTGAAGCCAACTCAATGACTCCAGGCAGAGCTAACTGCAGTTTTCCACTGCCTGGGTTCCAGAAGACCCAATTTCTCCTACACAGGTGATTTCCCTTCAGCCTCATGCCTTGCCTCCTCACCTTCCATTACAGCCCACTGCCTCTGGGGTAAGCCTTCATCCCTCACAAGCTCCATTCAGTCTTTCTGTGGGCCAGAGGGCTCCTGGATGGTGTGGCTTACCTACTCATCAGGCTGGCCCTCCCTACACCTGGGCTTCAGCTCTACCATCTCCTCCTCCAGATAGCAGTTAGAAGGCTCTTCTGTGAAGGAGATGCTTTGGTCCCAACCCCTCCTCTCTGTGTCTCAGACTCTAATAATTTCTGATCGGAGCTCTCATCCAAATCATGCTTAACATACACACATGTCCCCCCCCCCATCCCCACCCCAAAACACACTAATTATTTTTATATTTTTGCTATAAAGGTTCCCACCCTGCTGCATAGAAAGACCAGCCCATAAAGGTAAGAGAAGCCTCTTTTTATCACCAGCCCTAATCCCTCACATACCTCCAGACAGACTCCTGGTCGCACTACCCGCCTGAGGCCATGGAATTCCCGGTAAGCAAGGCAGAGCCCCAGCTGCCCATCCAGCTCATAGAGTCCAGCAGGCTGATTCAGAACGCCTGTGACCGTTCCCTGCAAAGAGGTCAAAGGGCCAGTTGATCCCTATTTCCTTCCTCTTTGGAGACCCACATTTCCTGCCCCTCGAGCTCTAGGATCGCTCTCTTATACTTACTGTATATGATAAGAGTATGGAGTTCTGGACAAGACCTTCTTGCTCTTCCCTCTCTTGGGAGTTGCTGGGCCTGGGGTCAGCCTCCAAGAGGGGTCCATCCAGCTCCAGTTCTAGCTCTCGTACACATTCTGGTTTCAGCGGCAACAGATGAGAGGAGGGACTGGTCCTCCAAACATGGTAACGGTGACCTTGGATCTTGGATACTCGCAGCTCTGTCAGCACATAGGCTCTACCAGGCCGAAGGGCTCGGTGCCACACCAGTTGGGCAGGGACCTGGCTTATGCAGAGGCAGCCAACATGGCACGAGACACTTTTCACAATGGTGTCCCTCTGCCAGAGTCCCTTTCCATCATGATTTGACCTCAAAGACCTGCTCCTTATGAGCTTTCCTTGCCTCTTCATCTTCCTTGTTTACCAATTAAATCTTAAGCCATAGAATTTTCAGGATCTCTCCTCTCTCACAGGAGATGCCAAATGTTTCCCAATCCCTCCCCCAAGATACAAGCCATCCCTAAAACTTCCTCTAAAATATAACAATATTCCACTCAGAAAATTATGTCCCTTTTGCATTTCCCCTATCCTACCCCATAACATACAAACAATTTTCATTTATTTAATCAATATGCACTAGGTAGGTATATATCCAGTATTGGAACAGATGTTAAGGAAATGTAATAGACTGTTCCCTTTTCTCCAACCTATTTCAAACCACTGGGGAACACAGACACCAACCCAAGTAATAATATGGAGCCATGTATGACCAAGTGGCAAAAAGAATACACATTTGCTAAGGTTTCAGAGAAAGACTAAAAAGGTCAGGATGGGTTGGAATGATCAGGCAGGCCAAGTGAAAGAAGCGGAACTTGAACAGGGTCCTGAAGGACATCTCTGGTTTGTCAAAGTGGAGAGAGAGAAGGGCGATTCAAGCAGGAGGCAACAACATAGAAATGTCTGGAACTCAGAACAAGCAAGGCAGTGAAAACACTGGCCAGGATGGAGACGAAGGAATTCTTGAAAGTTGTAGGAGACAAGACGGGAGAGCCAAGTTGAGGGCAAAAAAACCAGAACTAACATGCTGAATACTTTATTTTATAGGAAAATGAAAAATATAAAAGTAGGAAAATAAAAATAAACATCCGGTCGGCTGATGGTTAAGAACTGGCTTGGGATGCCAGAGGGCCCCGGTTCGGATCCCACATATGAGGGCCAGTGACACTGCCCTCCACAGCTAAGATGCTGAACAACAGCTCAATCTGGAGCTGGGCTGCAGTGAGTCGCCGGCTGCAGTGAGTTGCCGGCGATGGTGTAGGCTGCAGCCCCTGTGGCAGTGGGTTGCCATGGGCTACTGTGTGTAGCCAGCAGTCAGCGTGAGCGGCCAGCAGCCACAGTGAGCAGCCGTCCAGAAGCCGGCGACTGATGTGCCTTGCCCGGGAAGAGCGCAATGATGGTGCCAACTTGGGCCAGTGAAGCAACGTCCTCCACAACTAGACTGAAGAACGAAAGGAAAGCAACTTGTCTGTTCCCCTTCCCCCAATTCCCCAGCACTGTTCCCATCCCCCCAATTCCCCAATAAAAATCTTAAAAAAAAAAAAAAAGAAACATCTGACAGCAGGGCATCATATGGACTGGATAAGGGTGGCTGTTGAAGAAATTGAAGCACAAGGCAAAAAGGGACTATTTGTAAATATAACAATCTTCTAGGCATGCTCGTCCCATAGGCATAACAGTACTGCTGCCTTTCTTAGGGGTTTCAAAACACACTGATGGTCGACACTTGAACTTTAGTCTCCTGTGCTCAACTTCACACATCTCCATTTCTACTCTAAAACCAGTTGAGTACCATCAATCAGACCTTGGATGTCACAACTCATCATAAGATATTGCTAAGACCTCACTTAAGCTTACTGCTTGTGCAAAACAAGTAGTTAATAATGGTTTGACTGAACAAACCAACAAATAAATGAATACTGGTGATTCTGCTCCTCCCAGCTCTCCCTATGCTCATTAGACTTCCTCTAACCTCTCACTAGGACCTCCTATCACAGCCCTTTCTCCTTTATTCAGACACTGAGTGAGGTCCTTACCTTCCTCTGTTCCAATACTGCATCACCATAGTTACCGTATTTCCCCATGTATAAGACATATCCTTTTTCAAAAAATTTGGGGTCTAAAAACTGGGTGCGTCTTATACAGGGGTTGTAGATTATTTGACAGTGATGAGTTGTATGAATTTTATGATGAATAAAACTTGAGTTCAATAACTTTATGTAATACATTTTTTTTCAAATTTTGGGCCCCAAATTAAGGTGCATCTTATACATGGAGAAATACGGTATTTCCTCAACTCCTTTTCTAAGGCAAAAAACCTACTTAAGTTAGACAGACTCATGCCACCCTAGTGCCAAACACTTATGCTGACCCTCTCCAGCTTGGCCCTGTCACTGCTCAGCAATCTCTTATCCCCAAACACCTAGCACAGCAGTTACCCTGAACCTTTTTTTTTTTTTTAAGGTTTTACTAGGGAATTGGGGGAGGGGAACAGACAAGTTGCTGTTCTTTTGTTCTTCAGTCTAGTTGTGGAGGGTGTAGCTTCACTGGCCCAAGTTGGTATTATCATTGCGCTCTTCCTGGGTGAGGCAGTTGCTCGCAGGCCATTGGACGGCGGCTCGGCTCACGGCAGCTCCCGCTGGCTGCCGGCCACTCATGGTAGCTTACAGCAGCCCTTATAGCAGCCCGCTGCCAACCCACTGCAGCCTACACCGTCGCCTGCGACTCATGGCAGCCCAACTCCAGGTCGAGCTGCTGTTCACGATCTTAGATGTAGAGGGCACAGCGTCACTGGCCCACATGTGGGGTCTGAACCGAGGCCATGCTGCTCAGAGCTGGCGTCCCAAGCCAACACTTAACCAACGTGCCACACGGCCGGTCTGCAGTTACCCTGAACCTTTACTCCTCTTTTCTGAGTCTAGTCCTCCATTTTCAAGAAATGACCTCACTGTATCATAGAAGAGACTCACTGAGGTCATCTACAGTGACAGTTTGTCTCCAATATGTCTCTTCAGCAGCCCATAAACATACCAAGATCACTCCTCCCCTGACTTCCCAGGCTTATTCCAAAGCCCGCCTCTGCACCCTTACAGTGTCTCGTGTATGTGTGTGTACCTATCACAGCACTTATGATCCTGAATATTAACAGCTGACTTACTTATCTGGTTGAGAGTTTCAAATTTGTGCCTCTGAAATGACCAAAGTGCCTAGCGTTATAATACATACTCGATAAAGGATGAATCTTGGTACAGGTGATGCTCCAGTCATGAATATCCTCCCCTCTCTCCTAGTGATTTAAACTCTGTCCATCCTTCAAAGACCCAGATCAAGTCTAAACTTTCCCATAAGGCTTCCCTCCACATAATAAACTCTAGCTGACCTGCTACGGCAGTTATAATAACTACACTATACATCTTAGAACTTATATACTGTTATACTGTTTTGTATTATTCTCTGCTTATTTCATAAATCAATATCATATAAGATCTACAAGATTATAAACTACCCAAAGGGCTTACCCTACTTTGGTCACCTTGCAGAAATTCAAGTGCATTTCAGAAATTTCTCCCTGGACATATAACACACGAATGAGCCAACCCCGCCCTACACAGACTTTTTGAATGGTGTCTAGACTTAAAATATTTTAATGTAAAGAAAATATATAAGCTCCTCTTTAACCCAGGAGGAAAAAGCAAGATCAGAAATTTGGGTGGCTTCTAAGAATTTTTAGTTTTAGCAATTTTTTTGTTCCTTTGTACTTTAATCACTGTTACTGAAGCTCATGGTACACAGAGGCAGTTAAGAATTCAAATAGTGCTCATAAATATCATAGTTTCCAAATGTTTTGATACGCATGTTAGAGAGCCTTTTCATCCTTTGTTTTGAATGCTTTTAGAACCTTATTCAAGTAACTGTGTAAGTCATATAATAACTAGTGTAAAAATAAATATTAAAATTGTACCAGCTGATAGAGTGAACAATAAGTATCAAATTTTTTTAAAAAGTGTATGTATTCCATGTATTAATTGTGTTCAGATAATTTTCTTGGTCATCCTTCTAATGCAGGGGGAAACCAAATGATTCTGGTAGGTTTTCAAAATGTCACACACAATACAAAAGTTGTCTACTCTAATGAATTGCACAGCAGCAGAGTCTATTCCCTACCTCCTATACACAGGAACGATGTTACCTGGAATCTTCCCTCAATATTGCTGTTCCAGAAAACAGCTCTTCCCAGCTGTCCTCCTTTCTGAAATGGTTCCTCCTAATATGTTATCTTTCCCGTTCAGAGTTCCAACACCCCTTCCACATCTCCATGCCGCTGAATTGACCCTAATCCTCACCTGCACGATGATGGACACATAGCTGCTGGTTTGGCTGTCAGCTGGGGATAATTCACCAAGAGACAGGACAAAATAAGCTTTCTTTTGACTTTTCACCAGAGCACTCAATCGAACCAGCTTCCCAGCCAGGTTTGGCTTCACAACTCTGAGCTTCCTATTAAAGAAGGTAGAAAGAAGAGAGGAAAAAGTCATTTTTATTTCTCTTCTTTTTCCCTAAAAATGCCTCCCCTCCCATGTAAAGAACAATCCAGTAGTGATGTAAAATTTCCATATTTCCATAGCTACTCGAAAGATATTATTCTAAAAGAGGCTCTATCATCCCTTTGATCTGGGACATTTCAACTATATTACTTTCGGTACCTTTCTCTCCTTTTTTCCCCTGACCCATCATCATTCTCCTGGTTTCACAGTGCTCCCTCCTCCCCTAGAGAGGGAAGAATTAATTACCTTTGCCTGAGTAGGCAGGACGCAGCTTCTGGGTAGAGAACAGGGATAGTGGGGAGGGGGCCAGCACTGATGGTCAAGGGAAACACTGGCACAGGGGCACTCCAGAGCTCCAAGTGCCCTTGCCCTGAGGAGTTCCACTTGGCAGGAGAGAGGTAACTCCAACTGGGGAATAGGAAGAGATGGCCCAACCAAGAAAGGTCCAGATCTATGAGCTACAAAAGACCAAGAGCAAGGGTTAATCAGGATTCTAGCATCCCATCCAGCCCCCTCCACCTTTGTTCCCTCAGAGACTTATTGCCTCTCTGCCTAGACACCATTCTTTATAAGGATCTGAGGCACCTAACCTCCCCCTTCCTACTCACCTCACAGTCCAGGATACCAGTGTTATCTCTCACAGAGAGACTTCCATCCCTGTACTCTTGTTCCAAGTCCCCTGATAGGTCTGTTAGTGTCCCTAAAAGTAATAGCCGCTCCCGGGGTAGGGTCCCACTTAGTCCAGCCTCTTGGGCCCAAGCCTGGTATGCCATGCTGCTCCAGGACAGGTGGCTGCAGCATGAGAGGCGCTGGTGGGTTCTGAGGTTCTGTACTGAGACAAAGCTGCAGAGTGAAGGAAGCAAAGTATTGCAAAGCTGTATCAAGTCTAGGAAGTTACCCTCAGTCCTGACAAATCTCCCAGTATCCCAAGGAAAGGTGGATGGGGACTAAGAGAGGAGTTTGACTGATTGAAGGAGGGAAAGCTGGGATGAAGAGCCTAAGAAAATGAGGATGGGATCTGGGTTCAAAAACCAGTAAGTACCTAGGGAGAAAGTAGGAAGAAAGCCTGTGCTGAATAATATCTTGAACAAAATGGTGCCACAGACAAGACTCAGAAGGAATGGAGGAGGAATGCAAGAGCAGTCTGAGATAAATGTGGGGAGAACACTTTACCGATACCACGAACAGCTCCCTTGACAGCATCTTAGTTCTCAGATCCACAGAAAACTCCAATGAGGCCACCTAGGCATCTGTCTAATAGCTCAACCTCAGTGGGCCCATCCAGGTTTCCTTCCTAATCTAGAAAGTCACAGCGCTAGACACTAGCTTGGAAGCTGAGGCTGAGAACGACTGAGTTGGTATCAAGAGTTTTGAAATCTCAAGAGATGTATGAGATCAGCCATTCTTAAGCAAAATGTTGCAATACTGCTGAGTCACTATTAAGTGTGAGGTATATCATAGATAATGTGATAATAGTTAAATTATCAAAGTTGTAATAGATTCACATCTTTGTAATATGAGTGCCATTATTCTGCATTTGTATGATTTTTTGAGTGGAAAAGAAACAGGATAAGATTATAAAATATCGCAATTTCTCCTCGTACTTATAAGATTACCCATGTTCCACATCTGCTTTATTCTTTCCCACATGGCTCTGGAGCATATAAAAGGCAAAGATAGAAAACTAGCAGGTGTTGAGCCCCTCAGGCATATACTGTATTGGGTCCGTTCACACTCACTATTTGTATTGTATTTTCACCAAAAACCCTCGTTAAGCTACCGATGAGGAAAGCTAGAGAGGTTCAGGTACACAGTGACATTGGTGGAAAAGCCAGATGTGCTTCACTCAAAAGTCTATGTTCTTTTGTTTCCCTACTTCTCTGAAGGCCCCGGAAAAATCAATGAGAGAGGGCTATTTACCCTAGGACACCTTCAGGACAGAAAACAGCAAAAATAGGGATGACTTTTCCCAGGTTCTTTAGGGTCTGGGTCAGAAACTGAAGGTGATAACCTCGAATCCTTTGCATTTGTCCTTGCTCCCCAACTTTCAAGGCCTAGCACAGTGCCTAGCACACAACAGGCACTTGATGAAGGAGAATGAAAAAAAAAGAATATTTATGTCTGTCAAATTTCTATTTTACTTCCATCCACTATTCTTTATGAGCTCCTTACTTCTACATATTGTGCTATCTCGAACAAGAAACTTTAAAAAGGTTCCAAGTTTCCTAAAAATTGCTGACTTACCATTTTTCAATTATTCTAGTAATGCCAGAATTTTGAGAGATTTGGACCTTCAATTAGACTGTGATTACGGAGGCCACTAGGCATACACTTAGCTCACCAGCGGGAGACCCTAACCCCACTGCAATAGAGACTTCACGGAAATCACAATTCCTTCGACTACAACTAGTTGATAAGTAGCTCTCCTGTCCCAGAGCTTCACTCACACTAGCAGGACAGTTCTCAAATGAGATCTCATTCTATGTTTAAATAAACAATGTGATTTTTTTTTCTTTTTTTTAATTTCCAAGGTCAGTCTTGAAGTGGCTTCTGTATATCAGTTACAGAACTTCTGTTCTGCTAGACTTCAGGTGATTCTCAATGATGGTTGTTCTGTGGTTTGGTTGTAACTTTGATGTGGTCGTGAGAGGAGGCAAGCACTGCATTTACCTACTCCTCCATCTTGATCAGAAGCTTCTAAATAAACAATGCAATCTTAAAAGTTATAAAGATGGATAAGAATTGTAGGAAAAGAAAGGAAAAACACAGGTCAATGGAGTAAAATGAGAAGAGTTACAGAGAAAAGGAAAAAAACCCCAGGTAGCGGGCCCTCAGAAATAACTTTGGAATTAAAATATCATTTAATGCCTATCAAATAGACAAAAAAAAATTTGTGTTCAAGGTGAAAAACAGATATGAGAAAGGCTCAGGATACAGATGTATGCTGGTATGTGTGTCAATTTGGTACAACTCCACTGGAGAGCAGTGTGCAAACAGCTAATGAAGCTGATGGTGTGCATACCCGATGAGCCTGTGCTTCCCTTCAGTACATTGACTACTTAAGGAGAAGGGGTTAGGGGAGAACTGGATCAGGACAGAGCTCTTAGGGGACTTCACTAAATCTGGAACGCTTTACTTTTTATAAAAAAGAACTGAAGCAAATATGACAAAATGTTAAGGTTTTTTAAAAGTTGAGTATTAAGTACCTGGTTAAACACAATGTCAAAAAGTACACTGTTTAGTTCAGCTGACTCTTTTTCACAGGCAAGACTTTCTCAGTGAAGGAAGGAGTGTGTTGATTTATATTCTGGCAGACCAGCAATTTTAGTTACCACTGATTTATTTATTTGGTTTGCTATTCTTTTTGTCTTTATTCTAAGGATATATAGTTGAAATGTAATTTTCCCCCTTCTGTGTGGTGATGAATATCATTTTAATATAGTTAGGTTCGTTTGTTTCAGTATTCCATTTTAGGATTTTTCCTTGTTGATTTTAATTTTTTTAAAATTAAATGTTTGGGGTAATATTGGTTAATAACATTATATAATTTTCAGGTGTACAAGATTATAATTCAATATCTGTCCTCTATTGTGTGCTCCCCAGTCTAATTTCCTTCCATTACCATATATTTGACTCCTTTACCCACTTTGCCCTCCTCCCCACCGTTTCCTCCAAGTAACCACCATTTTGTTGTTTGCATCTATGAGTTTGTTTTTGTTTTGTTACTTTTTGTTTTATATTCCACATGTGAGTGAAATCATACGGTTTTTGTCCTTTTCTAGCTGACTTATTTCACTTAGCATAATATCAAGATTCATCCATGTTGTTATAAATGGCAATATTTCATCTTTTTTATGGCCAAGTAGTATTCTATTGAATATGAATATACATATCTCCAATCATCCATCAATGGACACTTAGATTGTTTCCATGTCTTGGCTACTACAAATAAAGCTGCAATGAACATAGGGGTACACACATCTTTACATATAAGTGTTTTCATGGTTTTCAGGTAAATACCTAGAAAAGGAATTACTGGATCATATATGGTACCGTATTTGCCGGCGTATAAGACGATTTTTTGGCCCTGAAAAATATGCCTCCAAGTGGGGGGTTGTCTTATACGCCAGGTACACTTCAGATAGACTGCCCATAGTGCTTGCCCCGTGCCATAGTGGCCTCCCGATGCCCGCCCACTTCATT